CCTGTTAGTAATGTCAACCCAGAAGAAACAAAATCAGCATTTCAGTGAGAAACATGGAAATGAAAATAGTGCCTGTGTCTGCTGTGCTTTGCTACCTCTGACTCCCAGGCCTGTAATCTCTTTCTCTCCTGGTCCCTGGACTGTTACACCATGAGCCTGCCAGGATGAGAGGACAGAATGTCTGGAGTGGAGACACAGCCACAATTGCAGACTGGACATGGCTGTGCCGAATAACGATGTGTGTTCCGAGTTTCCTCTGAGCAAGGACAGCCCACGTTGCTGCTTGGACACTCGGAAAGGACAGCTGATGGAAGACAGGAAGCGCACAGTGCAAGATCTACTCCCCGCACAGAGAAGTGTGGTCTCTGTCCCAACTCCAAGGATGTAACCTCTAAATTCTGGGTATTTCCAGAGCGATAGGCGTGTCCTGGTTATTCCTGGAGGGCCCCTGGGAACGTACCATAGTTTATGACAAGTATGTCAAACTCCCAGCCAGCAGGCTGCATGACTTGCTTATTTAAACGTTTGACATGCTTGGTTTATGACAACAGACAATGCATTATGGGCCCCTAATGTAAGGAGATGACTCGGAGTAAGGCCTGGCCACATCACAGAGACCAACCTTGTGATTAGAAAGTTGGGGCTTTGAGCCACAAGTATCATCAACTGGACCTTTGGGAAGGAAAGGAGGGCTGGAGATTGAGTCCCACTAGCAAAGGCTCAGTGACACCTCAATGGAAATCTGGACACCGAGTCTCAGAGTGCCCTGGGTGGGCTACACCCTGTGCTCATGATGCCCTACAGATGCTAGCTGAGGAGTTGCCAAGGACACGGAATCTTCGTGTTTGGAACACTTTCAGCCCCACATTCCTCATCTCTTCTAATCTGTGTCCTCTTAAATATGATAGTGAGTATAATGGGTTTCAGGGAGTTTTCTGAGTCTTTCTAGCAAATCTTTGAACCTGAGGGTAGTTTTGGGAAATACTTGAACTTGTCTCTGGTGTCAGAAGACCTGGGCGCACATGGTAGTCTTAGTTCTGTGTCCTTCCCCCTTGGTTTGGCTAATACTGTGAAGTGAAAATCGGGGTTTCCCAATGGAGGTGCCCCCGATATGAGTCCCACTGGCACCATCATAATCTGCCACAGAGAAAGGGGAGGGGCACTGCAGAGCATGAGTGGACGGTGCTGAGGAGAAGCCAGGGACTGACCGGAGGGGACAGACTCGGGGGACAGTGAGCACTCCCGGACAGGGCTGAACACACAGCCTGGTATGCCTGAGGAACAGTTTGGTGAAGAATGGCAAAATACACATGATCTATATGGAGAAAATGATAGTATTAAAACTAAGGTCTATTAGTGAAGGATTTGATAATATAAAACCAACAACTCTACCCAGGTAAATATATAAATTCAATATAATCCCGTCACCACAGAACCCAAAGATCTGATTGTAGATGTGCAAGAAAGACCAGAAGTTAAGACTAAAGAGTACAAGGAGAAGAACACCTACCCGATCAGGTAATACTCTTAGACGATTATAGAGTTTAAGACCTGGTTGTACAGGCACAGAGAAAAGACAAACAGGTGTTGGAAAGAGAAGAGAGAGCTCAGCAGTCCAGTTGGTGGTTAGTGTCATCCCATAAACCAAGGTTGTGGGTTTGCTATCCGGTCAGGGCACATAAAGGAATCAACCAATGAATGCACAAATGCAACAACAGATTGATAGGTCTCTGTCTCTCTCTTCCTTCCTCTCCCTCTAAAATAGTAATAATAATTTTTAAAAAAGTAAAAAAGTGGCCCTAGCTGGTTTGGCTCAGTGGATAGAGCGTTGGCCTGCAGACTGAGGGTCCTAGGTTCGATTCCGGTCAAGGGCACATGCCTTGTTGTGGGCTTGATCCCCTGTAGCGGGTGTGCAGGAGGCAGCTGATCAATGATTCTCATCATTGATGTTTCTATCTCTCTCCCTCTCTCCCTTCCTCTCTGAAATCAATAAAAATATATTTAAAGTGCCCCAGAGAGTGGATGAATACAATGAGACAAGAGCATTTTAAAATTTATTTTCTTTAAGGACTTTGAGCATATGTTTTTTTAAATATGTCTTTATTGATCTTAGAGAGAGATGAAGGGAGGAGGAGAGAAACAGATCAGGTGCCTCCTGTACGCAACCCGACGGGGATCAAACCAGCTACCTTTCGGTGCATGGGATGACGCAACTAAATAAGCCACACCAGCGAGGGCACCTGGAACATACTTTTATTTTGAGTAGAAAAAGGATGAAGTTACCCGGGGGGGGGGGGGGGGGGGCCAGAGTATGTAAGTGAAGAATGTAAGCAGAGGAAGAATTTCCCAGAAAAGGTGTGATCGAGACTCTGGTTCAGGACGTGGCTGTGGTTGGGGCAAGACCCCTCCTGCCAGGTGAAAGGAGAAGCTGCCGACAGGCGAGTCCGCAGGAGTGCGAAGGGGTGAGGAGCAAGCAACGGCAGGAGGCCCGCTTTACTTTCAACAGGAAACCTGACACACTGGTGGCCACAGGCTGAGACTCTGGGGCTGGGGAAGTGGTCACTGCCTGGAACCAAGCCTGGGCCCTTGAGCAGTTCCTGCAGGACACACAGCTGATCTGAGGCACCAGCAAGTGGAGAGACCAGTTAGGAGACGATGAGCATCCCCCAGGGCCAGAGGATGACTGAGACTGAGGGTGGAACAGGTCTGATGGAGGGGCTGCAGTGACGGGAATGAACAGGCCCAGGGATGGCTGGGGTAGGAATGATGGCGAAGAGGTGAGTTATTAGTGATGGATTCAGGAGATGAATGTGACAGAATGAACAGGCCCAGGGATGGCTGGGGTAGGAATGATGGCGAAGGGGTGAGTTATTAGTGATGGATTCAGGAGATGAATGAGACGGAATGAACAGGACTGGGCATGGCTGGGGGTAGGAATGATGGCGGTGGAGGGGTGAGTCATTCGGAGGCCACATCTAGTTTCTAACCTGCCTCAATGGCAGCAGCACTCGCTGAAACTGGGGAGGCGAGAGGAGTGGGCAACGCCGTGGGATCCTTGCCAGGCACGTTGACTCTGGTGCCTCTGAGGCTGCCAAGGGGAGATGTGGGACTGAGGAGGGGGCAAAGGCTTGGCACAGACGCTGAGGGGCTGCCACGAGCTGCAGACAGACTCACAGCCTGGCTGAGCAGCCCAAGGGACCAACAGAAATGACTGCAGGGCACCAAGCCCACACGTGATGCCCCAGTGCCCTCCACAGCTCCCAGGTGGGGCAGAGAAGGTCAATGTCATCTTGAGGTTTTACCAAACAGGAGGGGCAGGAACAAGGGAGTGCCTGTGTTGCTGACTGACTAGAGGATGGGCGGGTGAAGAAGGTGGACGGGGGCAGGCAGAGCACAGCTGGAGAGAAAGAAGGCCCTTTCCTCAGAGTTCAGCAGGAAATGCGAGACATGTCACTCATGATAACAGGCCACTACCAACAGCTTGCTTTCCATGAGCCCCTGGCTATGCTCAGGCGCGGTGCTCTGCAGTTTTATGCATAAATGCATTACGTGATTACATCCCCAAACAACCTGACAACAAAAACAAACAAACAACCTGACAACGAGACATCACTATTTCCAGCATCTTCCAGGGACAGACTGATTGTCGCAGACTACACTCACCAAAGCCGCTGCTCCTCACTGACAGCCTCACCACGCTTCCCATCCCCACACCCCAGGTGCCCAAACGCCCAGTTCTCGTCGTGGGATGTGAGGGGAACTGGTGTTTGTGGAAGGGGGTGTGACATCCTCCCTCCTCTCTCCATTCTCCTCTGCCAGCTCGAGGACGTCAGCACAACCTGACAGCCACACACTGACGACAGAACCCACACGGGTCCTTCAGTAACGGTGTGGCCAGCTCCCTGCTGACCCCATGTGCCCTGGCGAGTGAGAAAAAGAGCCGCCATATGCCGAGCCCTGAGGTCCTGGAGTCTGTCTGATCCAGAAGCTGCAAAGACACAACGAGATCCTGCAACTTCGCTACGGCACGGAGATGGTGATCAGCAAGCCAGGCTCTGAGCCCGACAGACCTCAGCGCGTACACCTCCGTCCTCCATGAGGTCAGAGGGCCCACAGGTCAAAGGGCTCCACGGCTTCCAAACCAGCGGACAGGCCACAGCAAGCAGCTTCCCAGGGACCCGCGGCCAGCGTCTCCTCAAGGCCTCAGGGCGGCAGGGCCTCCGTTTGCCGGGCCTCGGCTCCTACCTGGACAGGCGCCTCGGGGGAGATCTGTCTTCACCATCCACAGCTCCCGCCCCGGGTCCGGCTCCGGCAGATCAGCTGCGGTCTGGGAACAGGGCACCCTGCTCATGGAGAAGGAAAGAGGACGTGAGGATGTGTGTGAAAGGAAGGAAAACCTCTCCATCGAGCCCGGGACTGCAGGGTGTGGACAACCTCAGCAGGAAGCTGCTCCATCCACACAAAGATGCCGAGACCGGAAACCCAGGACACAAACGCCACCACTGAGACCCGAAGACTGAGCGGCGATGCTGGCTGTGTAGACAGCACCACCCCCTCGACCCCGTCGCATGGGTCCCGAGGAAACCACCCTTCCTTCAGGCGTTTTCTATTAATCACAGTGAGTGGGTCTGCACCACCCACACACCCAACCCCTAGGACAGTGATGGCGAACCTATGACACGCGTGTCAGAGGTGACACGCAACTCATTTTTTTGGTTGATTTTTCTTTGTTAAATGGCATTTAAATATATAAAATAAATATCAAAAATATAAGTCTTTGTTTTACTGTGGTTGCAAATATCAAAAAGTTTCTCTATGTGACACGGCACCAGAGTTAAGTTAGGGTTTTTCCAAATGCTGACACGCCGAGCTCAGAAGGTTCGCCATCACTGCCCTAGGATGTCAGGTCTCTGCAGGCGAGGCCTGGATCTCAGGAGACTAAAAACCTCCCAGGTGAGTCTGGTGTTGACAGAGGGCTGAGAAGCCTGGTCTCCACCAACCTGCCAGTGGCTAATAGTCTGAGGCAGCAGGTGACCGACACCCCACTCCGGGGAGAGTTTCATTCTGCTCTGCTGGTCCGGCAGCGTCCTGGGACTGTGTGGGGTGACTGCCTGAGGACCGAGGAGGAAGCCAAGGCACTGACCGGGGGGTGGCACCCACTGAGACAGGCGCCCGCCCCACCCCTGAGCTTCTTGTCAGTGTGGCAGTAACTTCCTGGAGGGTGAAGACCGAGCGCGTCTGTCACTTGCAGCCAAGCTCAGATGCAGGGGAGAAAGACACGGGATGCGTACAGAGAAGTCGGTGAGACGCACCCCAACCCGCAGGAGGCTCCTCTGGCAGGTCCTGACCGCAGCCCGGGACCCACCCGCTGTCATCAAGCAAATGTTCACTTGAGTCTAGTGTCAGCTCAGAGCAGGGCTCGGGGAGGGGCAGAGGGAAGATGAAGAGGAGACCGCCCTCGGCTCTGGCAGGAGTTTTCTCCCTGTGACCTCAGGGCCTTTGCCCGCGTCAGCTCTTCTACACGGAAGCAGTTCTCGCCGCACCTTGCTCCTTCTTGCTTAACTCTTTGGGTCTCAGCGCAAGTGTCACTTCCTCCTCAGATGCCAAGGCACAAAAGAGGCTTAAACTGTTTCAAGGGCAAACCCTGTCACTGCTGCTTGTCTTCCTGCTGTTGGAGATTGTTCCTGACCCAGCAAAGTATAAGGGACCCCATCCATGGAGACGGGTGGTTCTGTGTATAATAAAACATCTTATATACAAAAGCTCAGCGACCGACGGGCGGAATGACCAGATACCAGTCGCCATGATGTGCACTGACCACGAGGGGGAAGAGGCTCAACTGAGGAGCTCCCCCCGGTGGTCAGTGCGCTCCCACAGTGGGAGCGCCGCTCGGCTGACTGGGATGAGCGGCTGCTCCCACAGCAGGCCGATCCCTGCAGGCCATGCCCCCACCAGTGCACTAATCCATGCACTGGGCCTCTAGTAAACATAAAGAGCAAGAAATATCTTGTTTCTACTCCCCCTGAGACTGAAGAGGTTTCTCAATTCATTTGAGATTGTCTACCCCCTGCCGGTAAGTTTGGCAAGTTTGAGTGCAGCTGCCCGTCAGCATTGACCCTGTCTCCTCCCTAAGGCCCAGCAGTCAGACACTGACTGCTCCCCAGATGCAAGCCCTGCCCCTCTGAGGGGCTGGGGACACCCTAGAAAGCAGGGCCGCCACACACAGCAGAGGCCACTTGGGACTGCCAGGAGCCTGTCAGGCAAACATTCAAATCAAAGAAAGAAAAATGGTCAGGGACAGAGAGGTAACCCGTCCACTCCCACCCACCCCCCAAAAAGATTCTGTTTAAAAGGAAAGGGGCCAAAACCGGTTTGGCTCAGTGGATAGAGCGTCGTCGGCCTGTGGACTGAAGGGTCCCGGGTTCGATTCCGGTCAAGGGCATGTACCTGGGTTGCAGGCACGTCCCCAGTGGGGGATGTGCAGGAGGCAGCTGATCGATGTTTCTCTCTCATCGATATTTCTAACTCTCTATCCCTCTCCCTTCCTCTCTGTATAAAATCAATAAAATATATGTTTAAAAAATAAAATAAAATATATTTTAAAAAAATAAATAAAAGGGAAAAAAGAAAAAAAAAGAGGAGGAGAAAACAGGGAAGAGGGATGGCAAGGACTACGTACGCTTCAGGCCAAGGTCATCTCAGGAAGAGGCTGCTGCCTAGAGGCCCAGGCCCTTCCCCATCCCACCCTTTTAAAAAAACCGGGACACACACTAAGAACCAAGGGTAGCCCGGCTGGTGTGGCCCAGTGGTTGAGCGCTGACCTATGAACCAGGTCATTCCTGACCAGAGCACATGCCCAGTGCGGTGCGTGCAGGAGGCAGCCCCTCCGTGATTCTTTCTCATCGATGTCTCTCTCTCTCTCCCTCTCCCATCCTCTCTGACATCAATAAAAATCAAACAATCAAACCAGTAACAAACCAAGACACAAGGGGGGGAAAGCAAAGATAAATAAAACACAGTACAGTATGGCCGGTCGGTGTGGCTCAACCAGGCTCCCTCAGTCAGGATGTGGAATGAGAACCTTAGACAGAGGCCAGTCTGTGCCGGGCACTGAGGGGAGAGGTCCAGACGTATGGGCTCACGTGGCCATTGCTGCCTCCTGGACACCCCAGAGCCCAGCAGCAAAGAAAGCGAAACAACATAAAAGCAGAAAAGCCCCACAAGGAATCTGGGGCCACAGAGAGCAGGGACTGAGGGGCCAGCCCTGTCACAAACTCGCCGAGGAGAAGCCACTCTGGACAGCATGACAGGAGCAGACCCAGGAGCCCCGGCATGATCGTGGGGGTCCCCAGCTCCCGACGGGACGCCCTGCCTCTGGGTTCTGCACGACGCCCCCAGTTCCTTCCACCACGTCCTAGGGGGCAGAGGAGACCATGGAGACCAGGCCAGCAGAGGCGAGTCTGGAGCATGACCGAGGCCGGGAGGAGGAAAACGGGCCCCTGAGGCCTTCGCGACCAGCCAGGCCCGAGGCAGACGTGGGACAGGGAAGCCGCGGCCCACCGAGGGGGAGGACTCACCCAGCGACGCCAGGAGCCTGCAGTTCTCCAGCATCACCTCCTGGTACAGGGTCCTCTGGGCCACGTCCAGCTGCCCCCACTCCTCCTGGGAGAAGGTCACGGCCACGTCCTCGAAGGTCACAGACACCTGGGAAGTAAAGCGGAGGTCGCAGCGACGGCCTTGGGGCTGCTGATGGGATCAGCGAGCGTCTCTGGGTCGTGGTCCAGGGGCAGACGTCAAGGCCCAGAGCACCAGGCACCTGCTGGGGCCGAGCTCTGCTCGCTCACGGGGGACGGCAATGCTGGGGGTGTAACCCGGTGGGGAGAACCCTCCCGGGCAGGGGCCGATGTAAACTGACAGGAGACAATGGAACGTCAGATGGTGGTGAGGGGGACAGCGAGGGCTCCAGGGCGAGAGGGATGAGGAAATGATAACATCCGTGACGGTAGCCACCGGTGTCCCTGACCTCCCTGGTCCTGCAACTGCCTCCCCACGCTGGGGCTCCACTTCCTGGCCAAAGGGACTAAAGCCCCCAGTTCCATCTCCTGTGGTTTGCTCCCAAACTCGTTCTTATTATTTTTAATATTTTTATTTTCTTTTTAGAGAAAGGAAGGAAGAGGGAGAAACAGCCAAGTGAGAGCGGACCTTTGCTGCCTCCTGCACCCCCCCCCCCCAAGACAGGGATGGAGCCCACCCCCCAGGAAGTGCCCTGACCGGGATGGAACTGCACCTTTCGTGCACTGGACTGGACTGGACAACCCCAGCCAACGGCCAGGGCTGCGCCCAAGCTCCTGAAACGCGGTGCCTGCCGGCGTGCTACCCGGGGGGCATCACTCACTTCTGAGCCGGTTCCTGGGTCAGTAAGTGCCCACTTCCCCTAACATTTGTGACGGAAGCTACGCTCGCTGCGCTTGGGGTTCTATGAACTCTCCCACAGCCCGAGGTGAGCCCTCATGCCCGGGCCTCAGGGAGTCCCCCCAGTTCCCCGGGGGACTCACGTCTCACTAACCAGAGGCAAGACTTTACCACAGGTTCCTCCCACGGGGTCCAACAGTCACCGACCCCCCCTCCACCACTGTCAAAGCGAAGCCCAGCCGGTGTGGGTCAGTGGGTAGAGTGTCCGCCTGCGGACTGAAGGGTCCCAGGTTCGATTCCGGTCAAGGGCACAGGCCGGGGTTGTGGGCTCGATGCCCGGTAGGGGGCATGCAGGAGGCAGCCGATTAGTGATTCTCTCTCATCATTGATGTTTCTGTTTCTCTCTCCCTCTCCTTCCTCTATGAAATCCACAAAAAAAAAAAAAAAAAAAAAAAAAAAAATTTAAAGTGATACATGGGTGAGGAGACTGTGAAGCCACTATACCCATTTTTTAAAAATATTATTTTTATTGATTTTGTAGCGGAAGGAAAACGGAGAGAGAGAGAGAAGCATCAATGATGAGAGAAATCATGGATCAGCTGCCTCCTGCACGCCCCCTACTGGGGGATGTGCCCGCAACCTGGGCCTGTGCCCCTGACCAGAATCTAACCAGGGACCCTTCCGCCCCGCAGGCCGACGCTCTACCCACTGAGCCACACCGGCCAGGGCCACCCCATTTTTGCTGTGGAACCCGCTTCTGTCGCCCCTTAAACGCCATCTGTGAGCACGGACAGCGGACCCCCGCCCCCCCAGGAGAGACACCTGCGAGGGCAGCTCCCACCTGGTCATGTCCCGCCGGGGACCCGCGCCCCACACCCCCTCGGGGCTCCCCAATGACTCCCGGGGAGACCCCACGGCAAAGCATCAGCCTCTTCTCCTTCCTGACCCCCGAGGCCGGAAGAGATTCCAGGGGCGCCAACCGCGAAGGACACACCGGGGTGCGAGGTGGCGGAGGGGGTGACCCCGCTCAGCAACCGTCACCCACGGTCACCCTCCCGACCCGACCCGCATCCCCCGCACCGGGTCGGGGCGCCCCTGCCTGCAAATGCCCCGGGTCACCCGTGGGCGGAGGGCGGGCGGGCAGGGCGGACCCCGCGGGGTTGGGCTCTATGACGGCATCCTCCCAGTGGTTCTCAACCTTCTGGCCCTTTAAATACAGCTCCTCATGCTGTGACCCAACCATAACATTATTTTCGTTGCTGCTTCATCCCTGTCATGTTGCTACTGCCACGAATCGTCATGTAAATATCTGAGATGCAGGATGGTCTTGGGCGACCCCTGTGAAAGGGCCGTTCGACCGCCAAAGGGGTCGCGACCCACAGGTTGAGAACCGCTGGAACTCCCAGGAGGCCCCACCACAGAGCGGTGGCCTCGTTCCCTCCCTGGACCCCGACAGGACCGACCCCCGAGGCCGGGATGTGTCGGGAGCGCACACGGCGAAGGACACCGCCCGGGCTCGGGGACCGGGACACGCGGCGCCGGCCACGCACGTCAAAGCGGCGGGGGTCCCGGCTCCCAGCGCGTCGGCTCCCACATCCCCGTCCACGCACCTGCGCGGGGCGGGCCGCCGCCGCCGCCGCCATCGTGCGAGCCCGGGCTCCGAGCGACGCGGGGACAGGCGAGCACCCGGCGACCTCGGCCGGCCGACCGACCGACCGTCGCGCTCCGAGCCGCGGTGTCCTCGGCGACCCCGGGAGGCCGGGGGTCTGCAGGGCAACAGGCCACGCGCCCGTCGCGGGGAGTCACCGCGCGGACCCCGGCGCCGAGGTGAGGCCTGTCCGCCGCCCCCGCCTGCAAGGCCGCCGACGAAGAGCCTGACGAGACGCGCTGACCCCGCGCTCGGCCAGTCAGGCCCCGCCGGGACCCTACCGCTGAGGCAAATGGCGTCCGCGGAGAAAAACTCGGAAGTCCCGCCCAAGTACAGGAGCTTCCGGAAATGCCCCCGTGTCGCTGGCCGTCATTGGCCAGCGTCCGCGTCAGGCTCATGAAACACAGCCTTCTGGGTAACGTAGTTCGCCCGCCTCCGTCTAGCCCACGACGCGAGGACCCGATGCGCCTTAACCCAGGAAGTCGTTGTTCGAGGAAAAGGCGCACCGGTTGCCGAAGTGGAGGGGGAATGGAGGCTCTGGAGGCGGGGAACTTCGCCCGGGTTCCGGGCCTGGTTCCTGGGCTCACCTGACGCCTCCCCCATTCCCGCTAACCCCTCCCCAGATTCGCAGCTACGTGAAACGTCACTTAAAACCCCTCCTGAGGAGGACGCCGGAAGTCCCGCCTCCTCACTTCGCGCCCCTGGCGCGCTCACCCACCGCGCTCGCCTGGGATTTTTGTTGGGACCGGAACCTCCTTCAGAACCACGACGCCCGAACTTCCGAACCACGCGGTCGGGCCCAAGTCACTCGAGGGGATGGGTTTGCCACCCGCGGAGGCTGGAGGCCCGGGTGGAGGAGGCCCGGTGGGTGCAGCCTCCCGCCTGCTGCGCGGCCCATTCGAAGTCCGCCGAGTCCGCCATGTTGGGAGAGCGTTGGCGCCCGGATCTGTAAATGCGGGGTCACCCCTGCACCCCACACGGTGGCTTCAGGGCCTGGCACCCGGTGAGACCGTCACGGAATGGGGTGTGGACTGGAAAGGAGAACCGACAGCGTGGACCCCGGCTGACCCTACGTCATTCAGTGGCTGATGACAGGCAGCTGACAGACTCATGTTAGTCAGGGGCTCTGGCGGCACCGGAAGTAGATTAGGCCATCTTAGCAGTCTACATCGGGGATGAGTGTGGCTTTTTATTTTTATTTTTTTACTAGAGGCCCGGTGCACGAAATTCATGCACTGGGGGGGGGGGGTCCCCTCAGCCCCGCCTGCACCCTATGGCAGTCCAGGCTCCCGCCTCAGGGGATGTCTGACTGACAGCTCCTGCATTGAGCATATGCCCCCTGGTGGTCAGTGCGCGTCATA